TCACGCAGGATGGGGCGCAGCCCCTTGAAGGGTGAGCTGGCCCACTGGAAAAGGAGAAGTACTTTTAAGGGAGGGTAGGAAAAATACAAAAAGGCACCCAGATACAGTATTTAAAATGCGAGATGCACTTTAGTGATTAGAAACCAAGTGGTGTTGGAGGTACTTATTAAAGGTAGTAAAGATAAAAACAAATCTGGAAGGTATTTGGGAATCAGTAATGGAACTCGACATTTCGGGGACAACGTTGTGGGATTCTTATTTTAAATAATTAAACGTTTATTAAAACAATCACGTTTTAAAGTAAATACTTTTTTGATTCTAATGACAGCAATCGTGCCTTTAGCAGCCTCTTCGAGAGCTGGCTATAAATCCCACGCTTGTGTGTTTCTCAAACCGTGGGGTGAGTTCATGGTGTGTGTGTGTGCGTGTAGAGAGGTCTTCTGAGCCACCGGATAGACCTAGTGCTTCTTTCTGGAGTATTCATTTTATTTATTGCTAAAAATGTTAAATGTAATTTCTAGACTAAAACATTAGTATATTTATGGAGGTGACTACTGCATTTGTCTTAATGTTAAAGGTAAAACACAAATGTCAAATATTGGGTTACAAGTTCAGATCCCTGGAGTATAGACGTCACTGTGCTATATGGGGACACTTCCGTGGAAAAGTTAGAGAAGCATTGCCTTGAGTTGGTTGTAACAAACGTAATGGAAATAGTCAGATTTTCATAATTTGGGTTATGTCACGAATCAAATTTTTTCTGAAACAATACATGCAATGGCAGAGCTTGATAATATTCATTAACTTTCATAATAGGCCATTCTTGGTATTTCAGATAGTTTACAATAACATTAACATTCATGCTACAACGGTAATTGGGTTCCAGCTTCAGGAGGGGAAATGGGTTTTACTGTTGTATTTTAGAGGAGAGAGAAAACTGATAAGCTGCACATTGTGGCTAAGGTTCGACTAGGCAGGGGACAGATAAAGAATTATCACATTCTCTGATACTGTGAAAGGAATAGGTCTGGCAGAATAGGTTTGCAAAAAGATGAGGATCTTAACACGTGTTTTGAGCCTGTACAAAGTAGTGCCTCCCTAAATGCTAGAAAAAGAGACAAGAGGGCAAGGATGAGGAATCTAATTGAATTGGAAGTAGGGCTACATTGTTTAAAGTCCAGAAAGACAAGTCATGGAAACAAAGAGGTGTATTTGAAAGCCATCTGCAAAAAAGATGGTAGTTAGTGAAGTTATTTGAGTGAGAAATTCTAATAAAAATATAGAAGAATCATAGAAGGAAGTTTGAAGAGCTACTAATAGAAACACACAATATGAGAGCATCAATTTTGAATCTGGTAAAATGTCAAAACAGATAATCCAGATTATCAGCTGTAGAGAAAAGTCAAGGAATATGGTATTGTAGAACCGACTTTTTGAAATGTCACCGGAGAAGATAAGATTAGGGATTACCAGGGACAAATCTGGAGAGGAGAGTCCACACAGAGATGCACAATTCTAAGGTTTGGAAACATTTTAAAACATTGGACTTGAAATGTTTCAAAATAAAGTTGAGTTTAAATGCTGGGTTTGTTCTCTTTTAGTTGTCATTATAAAAAGCAGAATAAATGTTTATGTGGAAAATGTTTAAAGTATCTGAAAATGTAAATTCAGTCTCGTAGCTCACCTCATATCTGGAGACCAGATTAATTCCAAACCCAAATGGAAGGGAAATACATACACAATACACTCCAAAGAATAGACTGCCATTTAGAATAATTTACTCTATTTTACACAAACTTCTAGCCAACTTGGTTTGTGGTTTCTTTGCACACAACAAGTTAGAGGGTAACTGCAGTGCTCAGCAAAATACAGACAGCTGTCAGTAACAGAAAAGATACAAGAACTCAAAGTTCAGTTTGGGTGATTCAGTCTTTGAACTGACAGCCTTAGGTAATTCAAGAGCCTCCATATTCAATTATTGAAGACCATAATTATCCTGAATCTCAAATAAAAGTTTGTTTTCACTACATGGCATTTAGTTTGAGGTAAGAGGTATATACTACATTTTAGATATTCTTCCACTAGAAATGGTAAAAATAATAAAAGCTCAGGCACTTAAAGGGATAACTGTTAGTCACTTATGCAGAATTCATTTCTGTGGAACATTTCATTGCCCCAAATGCTGAATAAATTGTTGTATCAGTGAGCTTACTGACCCAAGAACCAAATGTTCCAAATTTTTGTTGAAAGAGGAATCATCATCAAAAGACAAAGTATCCTACTAGTAGAAAACATCTTAAGCTTAAATTTCAAATCACGGTTTGTGCAGCA